CTTTTCGACCACCCAAGAAAATCTCACAATATCTACCCTCTCCTAAGGACCCATTACCACCCCTATCTTCCTGTGGTGTCTATTCTATTCCTTGTTCATGTGGACATGTGTATATTGGCGAAACTGGTCGTTCCGTCAAAACTCGGATTCAAGAACATCAAAGATGCATTCGATTAGGTCTTTTCTCCCATTCTGCAGTTGCAGAACACTACCAAGAAACCGGTCATTCCATATTGTTCGAAAAAACCCATATTATTTCTAAGAGCCCCTTCTTTTATTCCAGGAAAATCCGCGAATCTCTAGAGATCCGAAAAAATCCACATAATATCAATCGAGAGGAAGGATACTACTTGTCTCCCATCTGGAATCTCAGTCTAGAGCCGCCGTCCGGTCCCGCTACCACGATGCAGCCACATGATTGGCCAGCGCGCGCTTCTTGACGTTCGCGCCACGGAGTGTGCCGATACGTCCCGACACGACAGGTCACCGCGACTATAAATAGAGCGGTAGCGGAGTAATCGTCGGATTCACTCCCCGCCTCTCGACGCGTTAGTGTTCTGAGCTGTTGGACGTGAATCCCTGTCCTGGCATTTGGTTTTCACCTCTGGCTGCGTTAAGTAGTTGAGTTACTGTGACCAAATGCCCATCTTGGTAGTTAGTATTCGCCTCTGGTTGCGTTGAGTAACTGAGTTACCGTTGCTAACTACCCATCTTCCTGTCTTTTGATTTCTTTTTCTTTGTTCTCCTGAAGAAGCTACATACAATTGTAGCGAAACGTCGAGATGAACCCACTTTTGGGTCACTCACAAATGACACGGTCCACACCCGGAAGACGAATAAACTATAATTCTGACTCTGGCCGTGAAAGCCTACGATTCATTTTACCACTAATTCTATGACCAAAAATTTCTCTGCTTAGAATGTTTATACTTTTATTATGTTAATTTATTTATATAATTTAAAATATGTGTTATTATTTGTACCTATTATTATTCACAATAAACACTATTACACATGTTATTTTATTTATATAATTTAAAATATGTGTTAATATTTTATTTTATAGTGTATTATTGTATCTATTGTATCTATTTTATTACTCACAACAAACACTTTTACATTAAAATTAATTAGCGTTTAAGTTATAAAAAATCTACTATAATTTAACTGCTAATAGAAAAATGACGAAGTATTTTGTCCCAGGCTAAGATCATTTTTAATTTGTGCCAGGCCACACTAAGTTAAATCCTATTAGAAATACACGTAAAGTATGCTCCTGTGGAATACACATGGCCAAACGATCTTTGCTGACTGTGTATACAGATTAAACGAATTTAAAACGGATCATACAATTTAATATGTGTCTGTTTTGAACTGCATTTGAAATAGTGGACCAATATAAAACTTGGACAAAAATAAATTCATACCCGGTGATAGACATTGTATAAAATACCGTTCAACTATCCGTCTCCATTTAGAACGCACCATAGTCTAGAGCGCAGCCCAAAATCAATGTTGCCAATCGCCGTGTAATAATCCGATTTGCGGATCTTTTTGAGAGTTATATTTTCTTCGTATCTTTAAATAAATCGGATATTTGCCTATATTTTTCATTGTATTTACCAATCTACTACAACAGACTAATAACAAAAATAAACTTAATGGTTTGTAGTTATTTCAGAAGTTTGTAGTTATTTAGAAACATCTAGAGGAATGATATTGGCAACACCGCCCAAAATCTCCATCTCTGATAAATGAAAGAGGGGCTTACCTAAAGCCAGCCACTCACTATACAGCGGCGTGGTTCAACTTCGTTTTTAACTACACACTTGCTTTGATCATATTATAGAAAATCGAAATGGCTTGATTTAGCGAGAATTTTTTAAGAGAGTTTTTGAATTATATAAAATACAAGAATGCTTATAGCGAATAAAAAGTAAAACGTATTACGATAGAAACCCCAAAAAACAGGCAATGTACATTCTAGTTTTAAAGTTCCAAGAAGTAAACAAAGATGCGAATGAAGAGTATGTAAGAAAAAAAATTAACAATTTTAGAACATCCTATAAAAGAGAATTAAAATTAGCATTGCAGTCCAGTAAATCGGGTGCAGGGGCAGACGAGATTTATTTTGCAACCAAAATCTTGGATTCTTTGCACCAGAATCAACGTTTTATTTTAGGTTTCGTTTTTACGCTTAGTTATACACAAAGTAAGAGACGCTAAAATGATTGTTTGATTTGACATGGTCGAGAACCGAACAAATACTGCGGCGCAGTATGGTGTGTGGGCGCACCAGTATACCAACAAATTGAACAACGGCTCTGTCCGATTATGTCAAACGACACCGCTGTACCGTGAGTGGCCGGCTTTAGGAAGCGATAGGTGGTTTGACCACCTATGAATGAGTTCTTGAATTAGTTCAGAATCCAGCAGCCCGTTGAAGTATTGGATTTTTATAACATAATTATTTGACAACCTTTTGTTGACCAGCCACCTAGACCGGAGTTGAGACGAAACACATATATTTCGTATGTTCCGAATTTAACGTGTTCACTGTGTATGTAAATTTACACGTGGCGGTTTGAACTCAGCCATTGTATATATTCAGGTATACACATGGCAGTCAAATGTCAAAGAACAATGTAAATATCATATTGTAACCTATTGGGTACTGGCTATTGATTAAACAACCGAACGCCGGTTTTTGGAATAACCGGTTCTTTTAACCGGTTAAATCCGGTAGGTTTAACCGTAAAAACCAAAAACTGGTGTTTTATCAACAACCGCCATTCCTACTTTAGTTTTTATAAGAAATATCCCATTTTCTTTAAATCCGTTATTGTTCCGATAAATACTGCTATATACTTTCGATACTAAATAAATATTGCATTATAAATTTTGGCTAGAAATTTTTTGTGACAGTTTTAAAACCTCATTCTAGCGTTACAAAAATCGAATAACAGCGCAAATTTATTAAAGACCCTTTTCTTTAAGAAGCTTATATTATTGAAATTTTCCCCAAAGGAAGCAGATGTGCTTTATTTTATAGACGATGCTGGGTAGTAAACATTTGAGTCAACCAGATAGGTCTGAACTTTAAAAAAGCGAGAAACATTTGTGTAGATATTACCTTCCTGTTATAAACGAACCTAACTTTTTTACGAGGCACGAATAAATTGGGAAACTGACAGGATTTTTGCTGGATAAGAATTGGCGTGACAAGGGTTGGTTAAATCTAAAAGGTGAATCAACTTTAAAAAAGTTGTTTAAAATATGTTTATATGTTACATTAAGATTTGTTTTATTTTAACGAAGACTTATTGGATGAGGCTAAAGAACTTTAACCTACAAATGGTAACTTATTACATTTTTTTTTTATTCGATTGCGTGCATTAATTTTTTTTGTTTAACACCTGTACGGTGTTTGTATACTGCTATCTGGTCACAAATGACCAATTATCAGATATTTTCTTACCTAACTTAATAAATAGCAAATACTTAAATTTAAGGGCTTACCCCATGGCTTACTCTTATTTTATCTATCAAATAATGCACTACAAGTAATATGCAGTACATAACGGTACTATACTCTGCTTTTACACTAAACTGTTATACATGTACACTAACTCAAATGGTTTTATCCTTGTGAGTCTTCTCTTTAGTTCAGTATTGTCAAGTAGCTGGACTGCCTCCACATTCACATGACAATGTAGCCTATGTTCGTGACATGTTGCGTTCTTTTGATTACTTCGGTCACAGTTTCCATACCCACGTCCTCGTGGAGGTTGTTATTATAGATTTACCACGAAACATCAACAGTGTTTCTGAGTACTTTTATATCTCTGGATAATATGTAGATTACTCCTCTTTTCTTTTTGATATAAGCTTTCCAGCGAAGCGTCGCGTCTAGGGGGAAGTATTTTGCTGATGTTGCATAAGGAATTTGGGTATCATTTATTCTAACTGGAGGAAAATTTTCTTTTTGTTTTTTTTGTTAAGGTAATGTATGTACATTTATTATAATTTAAAATTATTCATCATTTTCTAGTCCAGGTATGTTTTTTATTTACTGATAGTTGCAACTTATCAGTCGCTTCTTCACTAGTGTCTCCTACCATTAGAATGGCTATATCATCCGCGAAGGTGGCAATAGTGCTTTGTTCTAGCTCTGAAATGTCACACTTATACAATAGGTATAGGACCGGACCTATTACACGTGGCACGCCAGCTTCGATCTTGAAGAAGAAGTGTACACTGTAAGTGTACACTTCTTCTTGTTTTACGCTGAAATATCTATTCGCTATATATGATTCTAAAATTTCTGAATATTGTTTAGGTATGACCGTTTTTAGTTTATAGTCTAAACTCCTTATGCCAGATAGTATAAACGTCTGTGCTATATCTAAGAAGATTTTAGAGCAGACTTTTTTCTTCTAATGTTTTTTCTGGTATATTCGTTATACTGCAAAATTTATCTGTATTTAAATGTTCATTTCTGAAACCAAATTGATGATTTGGTATAAGATTTTTTCTTTCCGTTTTTAATCTTTTCAAAAGAAGTTTCTTAAATACTTTTGACACCACCGGAAGGAGTGATATTGATCGATAGGATGTCACTTCATTAAGAGGTTTACCTGATTTAGCGATCATAATGACTTCAGATACTCTGTAGATTCTGGGAACATATCTCATTATAAAAGCAGCATTTATTAGGTGTGTCAGCTTAACTATGGCTTTTTTTGGTAGATTTTTTATTAGTTCTCTTGTTATGAGATCATATCCCGGAGCTTTCTTAGGACTTATATTTTCTTTTATCTCTGTCGATACTTCTCTAAATGATGTCAACGTTATTTTTTCTTCGGTTTGGAATAGTTCTTTCCATCTTAGTTCCTAAGTCCTAATTTATTTTGCTAATTTACTTGTAATTAATATTACACCAATCGTTTCACCTTTTTTCCCAGGTCTTACGCTAGGAACACATTTTAAATCTTTTTCTTTTATTTATCGACTATTTCTTTCAAAATTTCTAAAGCTAGTGCAATTAAGGTGTTCTCAGATTTTCCAATTGAAATTTTAGGTCTTCGTTTCAAACAGAGCTCTAACCATCTTTTACCAGCTTTACCTAAAATTAGACAATAAGTAACTCTTGGATTAGATTTATGAAATTAAATATTTACCTTCTTCTAGATTTAATGTATTTGGGATTTCTAATCGCTGAGCTAAATTAAAGACCATGATTCTTACTTCAGTTCTGGTTGGTGCAAAGCTTGCTTTTTGTAGTATTTTTAGATGGCTGACGCCAATCGGTTTATCTTATCCATATTGTTTGTTTTTATTTAACGTTTAAAATTCGTATTGGGTATTCCAAATGCTTTGATGGCTTCATTATTACCCATACCACCATTCTTTTCTTACCTCTCTAAGGTGTATTTTGTTTGCGAATACTTTTATTGGGCATAATCTTAAACCAAAACATACTGGTCCAACTCTCCTCCTTGTAAGTGGTCCATCTATCTTCAAATAGGAGGACAGATGGACCAGTTCTTATTGTTTAAAATAAGTAGACTACAGCAGTAGTTCTTACTCTATAATACACATTTTAAGTGTAGTTCGATAATAAACTAACAAATAATCGGTTAAACTCCAAAAAATGAAATTTATTTTTTTTTTAGTTATATTCTTAAAAATTAGAAGCCTATTAGAAATCCTATTTCGATAATCAAATAGGTTAATATTGGCATAGCTCTATGCTAATCAATTCTTATCCTTTGGGGGTGGTTATTCGCGAACTTGGAGGTGGAAAAAGTTTATCAAGAAAAAATGATAGTCGCTATAATAGAATATTAAATTTGAAGGTAAAAATGATTTTAAGAAATCTATATTTTTTCGTGAGTAATTAGTGACTCAATGTTCACAAATTACACGTCAAAGAAGAATACTTTTAAACGCTTTTTAGCGAATAACTTCAGAAGTTTAGATTTTAACAGGAAAATTGTTTGGATATAAAATAAATCTTATAAAAGAAGGTGGTTTGTTTTTAATACTACCGTAAACTTAAAATTAACAAAGTTAATGCTGTTCAAAAGTAGACTTTTATTCATCCAATACAAAAATTCAAACATATGATGTTGAATAAACGGAAAGCTGAATACATTTAACGAAACACATTTCAACAACGTTGCATTGAAAACTTTTTAAATATATTACAAAAATAATCACTGGTATCTTAAAAATTATTTCGGCATAATCATTAAATACAGAAAAAAAAGTAATAATATACCTTGCTTAGAAGCAGTATCCGGCATTGTAATTAAACTTTATAAAAATAGCTTACAAAAAAATAAAGTTATTCAATGATATCAAAAAGAACTACAACACAGTTAAACAATTCCGGAATCCATAAATAAATATATGGTGGCTCAGCCCTGTTTATTAAAATCTGCATTATCTCGAAACTTACATTGTGGAGATACTGCCTTTTTGCTTAGGACGGCAGTATAAGCAGCTATATTAAAAAGCAGCTATACTCCATTCCACGAATATACGACTGTTTTAAATTCGGTTTAAGGTCTCTATTTGAATGGTCCAATGTGCTGAATTGAACAATAGTAAATTCTCCCTATTTTTAAAATACTGTTATGACTTAAAATTTAAATATGAAGTCATGATATAAATATAGAGTTGATAGTTTATAGAATAGTTATAATTCAGATTTTGAAGTATATAATTACTATCATTGATTTTAGTATTGTAAACAAGTTGGTTTTTGAATTAAGTGATTTAAACGAAGTGTAACAATACTTAGGTGGTTCAATAGTGTAATTTATTTAGTCGAATATTCAATTAGTATTAAGAAAACAAAAAAAAACTTACTTATTCTCTTATTCTCCTAATCTCCTAAAACTATCATCAACCATCAGATTCACAGAACCATAGGAAAGTACATTAAATACAAAGTTGTCTACATCTAAAACACGTCTCGGCGTTTTTGGCTTCAATAAACAAATACACTACACTAAACTCTTAAAACTAAAATCAGTCGGCGATATATGAAACTGTATATAAATGTTCGTTACTTTTTAATATCTGTAACGACTCGGTACTTCAACTATCAATAGCCGGTATGTTATACCCGTTACTTTCGGAACTTTTAAGATTACATCCACTCAAAGCAAACAAATATTTAAAACTAAGAAAGTAAAATTATAGATCCTTTTTCTGGTTTCCAAATCATCGTTCTGCCAATTTCTTTTCATTTATATTAAAGGTATATTTCTTTTTATTACAGTTGTAGTACCTAATATAGTAATAAAAAGTGTGATATCAAAGGAACCCGGCACGCCTCTTTGGTGTTTACATTTCGCGGAAACCCAACCCAAATGTCTTATGAACACATTTTGGCTTCATAGAACTCATTGTATTTAGTTGTAGGACCGTTTGCGTAAAAAGTTTTGTTATTTTCGGATTAATTTTCACAATAAATTTTGCGTCTATCTGAACATATATTAACTGAAATAATTTTAGTGTGTCAAACTAACAATAAATCCATTTTATTGGAATACTGTTTAGACCAATTTACTTTCATACTTCTACTTGCACAGTAAAATATTCGTTGTCGTAAAAATCCAAAACAGTCGTATATTCGTGGAATAACCTATACTAACGGAGGTGAAGGTACATAACGAACGATTCCGATATAATCGAAATAAGTCCAATATCATTACAATCATTAACCGATCTTTTAAGCCAAATTAAGGATTAAGAAAAATGTTTTAAAAATCTAACAAACATCTAGGACTACCATAAAGTTAATTAATGGTTTTTCTCTCCCTCGTTAAAAAATGTTTACTTAGTAAAACAAACAAATTTTAATTATTCATTCTAGTGCAAGTTTTCAAAGCATCTTTAAAATAAATTAAGGCAGGTCAACATCCTTTAGGAAATTTGAAGCGTTCATTTAATAAACATATTTTCCAGAAGACTTGTTATTTGAATTAGAATCTTTCTTAGATGTTTTCCTTATTCCCCTTTTGCTAGTAAATATTTGTTCAAATTCGTAAAGTCAAGCGGCTTAATTTTTCATTAAAATTATTATTCATTATGTTTTAAGTGTAATTTGAGGGATGCGAACGTTCACTCATATTTTCCTTATAGCAAACAATTGGGCCATTCTCATAAATTAAATTATTGATAAGTAGCATGTACAATGTACATACCTAATCATGATTTTATAAACAAATATGTTTATTAAAAAAATTGATACAAATATTCTGATGTGGATTGATAATAACATCCAAGTAAAATAAAAGCCAAAATATTTCAAAATGCCTACAAATTTGGTCTTTATAGCTCTCACATATATTCTGAGTAAAACCTTTTAATAGACAACGCCTTCTTTATACAATACTCTAGAAGTCTACATACTTATAAATCATCTGCAAATAGAGATGATATTATTATTAGGAATCAAATTGACTTCATTTTGATCGACTACAACTTTAACCCTGCTATTGTGTTCGGGTCTATTTGACCAAAAACAAATTCTTATTTTGCAAATTATTAAGCGGCGTAACGTTTTGGTGTTTCGTTACTTTATTACCTAACATGAGATCTTTCAATTGCATACGAGATAAAAAATCAGCTTTTTGAATTTTTTGATAAAAATACATTTGTTACTTAAAGTACGTTCGGGTCAATATGATCCACGTATTTAAACCGTTCTGGGTAGTGGGTAGAAACTTCTTGGATTTTCTTGGGCAGTCCTATCTGGGAAAATGAATCAGTATCTGCCCTCCACAGATTCCAGGTGGTCATCTGACCCAGGTAACTAGTACCTGTTTAGGGTCTCTTGTCCAGGGTTATGGATAAAGACCACAACGGCAATCACGGCGGAGAAGGATACGTTTGGTACGACGAGAATTGCGGATGTGGCAACCCAGATTATAGGGCTAGTATAAGGTCAATTTTGAACAAACGATCGCCGGTACAAGCGATTTCACTTACCAAGTCAATGGTCTCTGGATAGAGGCCGGATAAGAATACGTGAGACAGAGCACTCTTTTGTCCTAAGGGTGGAAAACTGTCTTTAAAAGGATGTCAACGGCATAAGAATACGGAAGGCAATGGGAACTTACCATATTAAAGTTCCTCAAGGATATCTCAAGAAAGACAAGGATGGAAAAGATATTAGAAGCAATGGCCCCTAGTCCGTGGCAGGCCTTAAGTGGCTTAGGAGTGCTAAGAATCTCCGCGAAGAAAAACAATGCTAGGAACCACCCGAAAGTGGGAAAAACCGCAAAGCTAAAACTGGATACTTGAAACGTTAAAAGTCTTTACACCTGCCGGTAATCTAGACAACATAATACAAGAAATGGAACGATGCGACCTAGACATCATAGGACTTTGCGAAATCAGATAACCTAACAGTGGTAAGTGTACTAAAGAAAAAGCGACACTATATTGCTCAGGAAATAACCTACCCATCATTATAATGGAGTTGGATTTTTAGTTAACACAGCCTCAAACAAATCAGTAATAAACTTCGTGGCATATTTGGATAGGGCAGCACTACTACAAGTCCAAGCCAGTCCTGTTGACCTTAACATTATACAAATATATGTACTCACCTCAGACAAGCATGAAAATAAAGTAAAACAATTGTACAGGGAGATTAAGGAGTTAATGAAACTGATCAAGAAGAATCAGACCCTTATAATCATGGAGGATTTCAATGTAAAGTAGGACGAGAACGTGTTGAAGATGTCGTGGGTTTGGGAGATCGAAACGAGAGAGGTGATATGCTAAACCAGCTCTGTCAAAAAGAAAAATTATTCATTGTGAATACTTGGTACAAACTGCCACCTCGGAGACTCTACACCTGGCAGTCTCCACAACATACGCATGACAACATCGTAAGAAATCAAATTAAATTTTTATTGATTAATCAGAGATACAGAAATGGACTGCAAGGAGTAAAAACCTACCCTGGAACAGATATCGGATCTGATCACAATCCTGTAGTAGAAAATTGAAAATTTAGCTTAAGAAAATTAAAAAGAAATCCATAAAGAAAATTGATATAAATAGCTTAAAACAACCTAACGTTAAACCAAAAGTCACAGA